GGCTGACTCTTAACTTTTATAAAGAATATCTCTTTGGATTTGAGACTTTAGTCTTTGCAACTTTACAGATCTTCTTTATGCACCAAGAGCTTGTAACACTCCAAAGAGAAAGGAAAACTTGAAATCGCATCATATGACCCCTTTAAACAATTATCTTGTCTGTTTTAATTGTCTTCAAAATTTAAACCATTAAGCTTTTATGTGGATGAAAGACTGCAGGGAGCCCTTAAAGCTTCTCTTTTGTTGATTCATGCTTCTCATTACAAGTTTTTGAAGATGGTTGTTGCAGGTTTCCCTCCCAAATGCATGTCAAAGCAGCCCAAAATTAGAGCGGACGCAAAGATGGACAGTTTGCATCTGGCGGATCATAAGCTGCTCATGTGTAAAAGCACAGTACACTGAAAAAATGTAACATCTAAATTTACTGGTTTAATAAAAAAAATGGATCACTAAATCAACCAAAATACATTCATTTATATCAACAAAATGAATGCTATTTTGATTAACTGTTCAGCCCTAGTCATAGACATGTATGTAGTTAATATTCATCTATGTAGATATCTGTCTTTATCATTGCTCATAACAGACAGTTTACAATCTTTTGTGTGAGCATAGCTTTACTGCTTGATAACATAGGATTATCAAGCAGTAAAGCTATACGCTGCAACAAAAGTCATGAAAACATGGGTAAAAAGTTAATTGACTAGATATCAGAGGCTGTGCTCTCTTTGCCACACTGTCCAAACTAATCCAAGTCCATGTCTCGTCTTTTGTCTTACCAATGAAGTTCCTGCAGCGGTGGTGCTCCTCAGCCTGTTTCCAGTTCCTAGGGAAGCTGACCAGAACTGTGTTGTGATGGAGGCCGCCTAGACCTCCAGCCTGGATCAGGTGTGAGGTGGCGTCCCGCAGGTTAGAAGAGATCACAACCTGACTGAATCCCTTCACCTTCTCGACCTCCATCAGCTTCCTTAGGGACTGAGAGAGATGGAGCTTATTAGTGTCTAATTTCTTCAGGAGCTCAGGCTTTGATCCTGTGTGTGTGTGTGTGTGTGCGTACTTGGTCTCCTTTCTGCGCCTGTGGTTGGTTGTTTAAGTAGGTGCCCTCCACACACGCTCCCACGATGGTCAAGCCTTTGCCCGCTTTCAGCTGACTGGTCAGCGACAGCAGTCGAGGCTGCTCTACGTTCTGCTCCACATCCAGACTCATGAGCACCAGAATCTGGGGCCTGGAAGATTGATAACATTTAAAAAAATGCTAAATACATTCTCAATATTTTGGATGAATGTAATTTTACATGTGACAACCATACACTGCTTGTTTGTTGTGTGAAGAGGCATATTACTGATCAGTCACTGACCTCCAGTTTTTAGTGTGAGGAGGACCTTCCTCCAGCCTCATCAGAGCATAGCGGGCGGCACTCAGAGAAATGCCACGAATCCCATCGCCCCACTCTTTCTCTGCCCTACAGAGAGGAAATACACATTTGGTAATTCAACTTTCTGTGGATCGGGTGTTCAAACTATGCCCAAGTTATAACTTTTAGATGTTACCAATGTTTAACACAATAATTTGATGATATTACCGTTTTATTCAGCTTTTTGAAGTCTGAAATCAGGATATTACCGAACAATTATTTTACATCACTGTTTTTAACAAGAAATAAAAAAGAAAGAAAGGTTTATACATTTAACATTAATAGATACTGAAATATGCTGTCAAGTTAATCAAACTGAACTATTGTTTAAAAGTTTGGGGTCAAAACAATTTTTTTAATTAATACTTTTATTCAGCAAAGATGCTTTGAATTATTATTAAAAGTAGACGGTAAAGTTATTTAAAATGTGACAAAAGATTTCTATTCATCAAAGGATCCTAAAAAATGCATTATGGTTAAGCAGCACCTACGATAATAATAACTTATTAGAATGATTTCACTGTGACACTGAAGACTGGAGTCATGATGCTGAAAATTTTGTTTTGATATCACAGGGATAAATAAAATGTTAAAATATATTAAAATAGAGAACACTTATTTTAAATTGTAATAATATTTCACGTTATTAGTGTTTTACTGTATTTTTGATTAATTAAATACAGCCTTGGTGAGCATAAAAGAAAAAAGAAATCATACTGACCCTAAACATTTGATATTTTAATAATTTACTACATTTCTATGATTATATTTCAGGAAGAGGGACCCTCAAGGTTATCACTTTTCACAGGCCAAAATTTAGATTTACATAAGTGATGATCATTCATCAACAATCTTCCACTAATAATCATCTAAAACTACAGTATATACATTTACAGTGAATAATTACTCCGCTGCATTCGTCAGGCCTTTAAATAAATCCTTATGAAAAAACCTAATAGCTGTACAGACAATAATGCCTTTTCTGCCAAGAGTGAGATTGATCTAGTTAGTGTGAAACTCATTAGGTTTTTTCCTTTTTTCTCCTGTCGCCTCCTCCTGAGGCTCATTTAGGTTTGCTTACCCGCAGAATTCGATGTATTTGTAGATGCAGCTGGCGATTACCATGGCAACAATGGCGTAGTACCAGGAGCAGAGGAACATCAGGGTAAGACACAAGCTCATGCCCAACAGTGACAGAGCCCTGGAGAGACATCACAGGCCATCTCATGCTCATTTGTCCAGCTGTGATTTTAGTGTCAGCTGTGTTTACAGTAATAATGAGAACCACCACAGATGATCTTAGCGGTGGAAGAAGGACTTATTTATGTGGTGTGATACATCTGTTTGCCTTCATTTAAGACTTTCAACTTTCATCCCCTCAAACTAATAATTTTGTAAACAAACACACTTTCTGTTCTGTCAGGGACACAAAGCTAAGGGAGCAGGTGTTTGTGTGTGTTCGTACCAGTGGTAGAATTTAAAGCGCGGCCTCCAGTTCGGGGTCCTGAGGAGCGTCTGCAGCGCACAGGCCAGATTTACAAACATGTAGCACATCAGGAAGAACCTGTGGGGAAAACAGATAAAAACTCATCTGTATATGTAATAAAGAGATATACCGCCCCCTTGGAAGTTTTCATGTTTTGTTTTGCAGTAATGAACCACTATATACAGTGGGTACGGAAAGTATTCAGACCCCCTTCAATTTTTCACTCTTTGTTATATTGCAGCCATTTGCTAAAATCATTTAAGTTAATTTTTTTTCCTCATTAATGTACACACAGCACCCCATATTGACAGAAAAACACAGAATTGTTGACATTTTTGCAGATTTATTAAAAAAGAAAAACTGAAATATCACATGGTCCTAAGTATTCAGATGGCTGCAATATAACAAAGAGTGAAAAATTTAAGGGGGTCTGAATACTTTCCGTACCCACTGTATGTATATATACAGTATGTATGTATGTACTTACTTATATTTATATAATATTCTATGTCAAACCAAAAACACACATGGACAACTTTTATTATAGTTACTAAACACAGATTAGTTTGCATTTAGAAGGTAGAATTAAACGACAGTACAATTTTATATTTGTTTCCCATTTAAAAAGTAAATGTTTACTTTAAAATAATAATAATAATATAATGAAATAAAATATTCCGAAGACAATTTTTTTATATTATATTTCAAAATTTCAAAATGCTGGGCAAAATGCTATAATATTTAAAAATGCTAATATATTTAAATAAATAATATATGACATTTTTAGATAATGTTTTATAATAATTTAAAACGTTTCCAATAATATTAACAAAACAATATTTTTAATTAATTGTTCATTATAATTCAAAAAGAAAACAATATATTTTTTAAATAATTTATAATAGTTTTTAAATAATATTTTAAAATAATAATACAATTAAAGAAAGCATACTTAAGGATAGGCTGGAAGATACTTGGATGAATGAAAGGCCATCAGTGGATTATGATGCTTTTTGCAGCCAAATCGTGTAGTTATGGCATCTACCAGCGGGGACTAACTGGCTCATGCCAGATGTTGACCTCTTAATTGAAGCCTCTTGACTTCACACAAGTGATCTCCATTTAACTACCTAGGCTTTAAAAACCAATGGGCTGCATTAGTGATAGTTTATGTGTTTCATATTAAAGGTGCTGAACATTTATGCATTCAATTATTCTGGATTTTATGTTATTTATGTAATATATTTTAATTATATTAGACCACTTTGTCCAGATCTGTTTGAAATCAAAGACCAGTCAGAAGCAAAAAAAGACAAATGAAGCCCACTGTGTTTTAAAGTGGGGAGAAAAAACCCCAAAGCATGACAAAGTCCACACTTTTATCAGCTGTACATTTGTAATGCATATCTGCAAAGGTTATAAGGGGGGATGTAGTGTTAGCAAATACAAAGTGCTGAATTAATGGTATTTTATTGTGTTATATACCTGTAAATAAGTTTAGGAATTATTGAAGAACAGGCTTTTAGAAAAGAGGCTATTCAGCATAGTTAAGAAGTTTTATAGTTTTATATATTACAGCAATAGAGACAGTTTATTGCTGTTGTTTCTCTGGGAGTCATAAAGAATAAGGTGCGCTGTGTATTTTTTTGGGAGTGTTACTTACATGGACAGAATGGGAGCGACTGCATCCAGCGAGGCGATGAGGATGCCAATCTCACAGATGCAGGCCGTCAGGAGGAGAGCCCATGTAGGTTCACCATTAGCTTTGCCATGACCAAACGCCTGTCAAATACAGAATATGATCAGGTTAGCATGATCACTTAGTATGATCAAGTATCGAAGCATCAACAGATGTAGAGACGTACCCTGAGGAAAGGAATGATGCCGTCTCGGGCGATAGCCTGAAGGAGACGGGGCGCTCCTGTCAAACTCTGAAGCCCTGCCCCACAGGTGGAGAAGAAAGAGCCGAACACAATGACCCAGGGCGAGGGCCATGCCAGGGTGCCAATAACCAAGTTACCGTTGACACCTTCCCCAAATCTGTGTGTTTAAAACAGTGTTGTTATTGTTTATATTGCAATACTATCAAAAATTATTTTTTCCTAACTGAAAGCTGAAATAACAAAATAATATATATAAATATATATATAAATTTAAACTTAAAAGACAATTAGAAATATGACAAAAATGTAAGTTTAAATACTAAAATTACTAAAACTAAAACTGAAATAAAACAATCAGAAAATAAAGATACATAGAAATATTTGAACAACGTAATAAAAATGACAAACATAAAATTACTAAACTAAATAAATTAAAATAAATTGAAATCTATATGTTTAGAAGAGTGTTATTATTGTTAACTAATAGTATTAAAAATCATTTTCATTAATTGAAAAATCTGAAATAATATAAATATATAAATATTAGATGAAAATGTAAGAAATGTTAGAAAATGAAAAGAAAATTAGAAATGTTCCCTTGGCAATTAGCTGAAATAAAATAAAGTTTGTTTAAGTTTAAATATTAAAAATACTAAAACTAAAATGGAAATAAAAATAAATTAAAGCTAAATAGAAATATTTGAACAAAAACTAATTAAAAAAAATGACAAAAGCACATAACAAAATCACTGAAAGTAAACTAAAATTAAAATGAAAACTGAGATCTTTGTGTTTAGAACTGTGTTATTATTGTTAACTAATAGTATTAAAGGCATTTTTGTTAAATTGAAATGAGGCTGAAATAAAATAAAATAAAAACCTTAAATGAAACCTTAAATGGAAATCAGAAATGTTGCCTTGGCAATTAACTGAAATAAAATAAAGTTTAAGTTTAAACATTAAAAAGTATATAAAACTGAAATAAAAGCTAAATATAAATATTTAAACAAAAAACAATAAATTACAAAAGCATATAAAAAAATAAAATGAATTAAAATGAAAGTGAAAACTGAAAAAATTAAAATGAAAGGTAATTCAAAATATCAATAAATGCCATATTAGTATATAAATACAGACAAACACAGTTGGGTTTCCATGCTTTATGGGGACATTTCATTGGCGTAATGGTTTTTATACTGTAGAAACTGTATTTTCTATCGTCCTACACCAACCCTACACCTAAACCTACCCCTCACAGAAAACTTTTTAGCTTTTCAAAAATCTTCATTCTGTATGATTTATAAGCTTGTTTCCTCATGGGGACCAAAAAATGTCCCCACAAGGACAAGGATTTTGGATATTGCTATCTTTGTTGGGGCATTTTGCCCCATAACGTAGGGTTTCCCCAGACCACACACACACATTTTTTTTTGTTAATTATTCAGCTGAGCTGAAAAGTGCTCACTTAATTCTCAATTCATTTGGAGGCTATACTGAATCCAAAGTGAATCCAAAATAGAGTTACAGACTCACTTGTCCCTCAAAACGACTCCGTCCACACAGGCTCCAAACAGAATCACACTAGACATGTCTGAGAGAGCAAAAATTTAGGAGAATGACACAAAGCAGCAAAAAGGCATTCACCCTATTTCAGCTATTTTTCCCACAGATGGAAACATCAAGTCTTATGATTTTATCACTGTCGTTTCCTGGATATCCAATTACACTGTATTCTGTACATTCCAAGATGTGCAGTTCTGCATTGTGTGAAAGTCACGGCTCATTTATTTATGCAAAGCTGGAGCAGTTTATTGCCTTCGGAGTAAAGGATACAGATGATGGAGGTGGTTGTGATGGCCATGATGGTTCCAATTGGGATGGACTTCTGAGCATCCTGCAGGTCACCAGAACGGTTCGAACCAGCCATGATACCTGTGACACACACATACTGTACATATTATATCTAGAAACACTGGTGTTTGTGGGTCAGCTTCTGCCTGGATTGAAGGGATATTATGAGAACAAATATTATGAGAACAAAAAATGATCTTTTACTGTTTTTACTGAACATAAAAAAGACAAATGCATAAGTAAGATTAAAATTAATGTTACCTTACATTTAAAAAAAGGCCATAATACACATTATACAGACCAAAACTAGACATTTATGTGAATAATTCCCCTACTAATGATCGAACTGTTGTACTGACCTGTGACAGAGGGGAAGTAGATGCCAACCAGCAGGGTGAAGAAGCTGGTGATATCAGCCAGGACGTATCGGTTAGTGTTGGTTTCTGGGGCCTCAGGGTCGAGTACTGCTGGTATACCTCGCTTCTCTAACATTGAATTTTTCTCCATAAAGGTACTGAAGAGGTTTTCTGTAAAGAACAAACAAACAAACAAACAAAAAAAGACTCAATTTTTTCCATGCAATTTTAAAACAGAATTCCATAAAATACACAACGAGTACATTCATTTTGAACATTACATTTAAATAATCCTATTATTTTCACCAAGATTTAGTCATTTTATTTTAAATGTAATTTATTCCTGTGATGCAAAGCTGCAATTTTTCAGCATCATTACTCCAGTCTTCAGTGTCACATGATCCTTCAGAAATCATTCTAAAATGCTGATTTGCTGCTCAAGAAACATTTCTTATTATTAGCAATGTTGAAAACAGTTGCGCTGCACGATATGTTTGTGAAACCGTGATACATTTTATTTTTCAGGATTCACAGATGAATAGAAAGTTCAAAAGAACAGCATTTATTTGTAATAGA